ACCCCGCACAACATGATCTACTCGACCACCATCATGGTTACCGCCAAAAAAATACAGAGGTACAAAAAAAAGCAAAACGGTAACCTGGTTGCCGAGTTCACGAAGTGAATTGGCTTAATTTACAACGTCATTGCCAAGCGACGAAAACCCAACCACGATGGAAAACATCGGGAGGGGGCACTCGACCACTCGACCATCATAATGGTTACCAATTGATGGCTACCGCAAAAAAAAAACAGAGGGAAAAAAAAAAGAACGTAACCTGGTTGCCGAGTTCACGAAGTGACTTGGCTTGTTTTACAACGTCGTTGCCAAACACCGGGGGGGGGGGGTACTCATAGTCGTGCATGCCGCAGTCGTTAGACCATTGACCTCGCATCCCTCAAGGCCGGGACGGAGCACGACGGGTTCTCACCGGACCAGGCTCTCACATCACCCAAGCGCGAAGCGCCGTGAGATATCCGGCGAGTCGCATGAAGGGTGCGCTGCATCCTGCTAAGGGTGTTCGGCATCTTGTGCTTACTTCCTTGCGTACGGATGACAGCTGCGTATGAATTAATTTATTTTCTGGTGCTTTCACTTCCAGAGACAGCTGTAAGCACTGTGTAACTGCCTCGAGGGTGCTTGACCATCTTAACACAACGTGGTGCGATCACCCCCCTTGCGCGGAGTGAGGGTTCTCGACCCCGCACAGGATCTACTCATCCACCACTATGGGGCGGGCAATATCACCATCAGTGGGAAGGAAGAAACTCGTTGCGGACATCTTTGACGTCAACATCCAAAGGCGAAATCGCAATTCCGGAGAATGAGCCCGTTGGCGAGAAAAACCTCTACTTGGAAAACAGCGGGCGGGGAGGGTTGCTCATGATACCAGGACAGACTCAAACGCCCAGTCCGCCCTTACTTGTTTTGTACACAACGGGGCGGCTGCTGAACAATGCGCGCCAGATGTGCAATGACGAGGTATGCTGCTTTATCTTGGCGTTGAAGCTTATTGACTCTACCTGGACAGGGAGTTGAACAGACATGCGGCATGAACCTGTTGCATCTACGCCCCTGGGCATCTCAGGCACCACTGCAGCAGAACGTGTTGCGCCGCCGTTCTGCTGCCTAGCCACGCATACATGCTGTACCTGGTACCAAAGTTTCTTTCAACTCACATGAGTTCGTCGCTATCATGACAACTACCCACCGAAACACCCACACAACCGATGTGGAGGCAAGTGGAAGCCTTGGTTTGGCACCTGCACCCGTCGCCCGAATGCACCTACACAACGAACGGCACCTACCTGCGCACACAGAATCTCCTGGTTAGTCTTGGCACCACTTACCACGGCCCAGGCCAACACTTTTCAATCACAAGCCGGCTGCTGAATAAGTAGCCCGTGTGTGGTAGGTTGGGTAGTTGTACGACGGGGACCTGCAGCGTATTGGACGCCACCCAGACTTGCTAGGGTAGAGACCAGCCACCATCAAGGCAAGCGCCGGCAGCATCACAGATGGCACACACCGCGCGGTTGACCACACGTCGAAACAAGAGATCTTACCGCTCACCTCCCCAAGCTCCTGGGCCTCCCTCTCTCGTCTTCTTCGTCGGTCCTTCTGCTCCGCCTTCTTGTTTCCTTTCTGTTTGCGGTAGAGCTCCGTCCTCTTGGCTTTGTTGCCGATATGCCCTAGGCTTGTCTTCATCCTTCCTTGGACCCCCTTGTTTTCTCTTTGCTCCCCCTTGGAACCTGCTCGATGGTCGCTACGTGCCTGCGTGCCTACCTCGCTGTTTACTTTACTACACAGCAGCAATTGAAGTGCTATGTCGACGGTCGGTGACTGGCCGTGAGACGCCGCGATCAGCGATCCAGGTTTGGTTCGGGGTTGCACCGCATTTCGGTTCGCCCGACAGTCCTGGAGTGTCGTGGTAGCACCGCATCTGTCTTGAGAAGCCTGACCGATGTACTATTGTGCAAACGACGAACGCACACCATTGTCCGTGCGCGGACGAGAGAGCCCGTTTCAAGATCATCACCGTGGAGCTATCATAGGGTGATTGAGAACAGTCGGACGACAACTTTGCGGTGTACTCCTAGTCTATACAACAAACACGAAGCACGCCGCGCTGCTGTTTTCTTGCTGTGCGTATCATCGCACTCCTTGTAACTCATACACAACATGGAAGAGGCTTCTCATGAGCCCTCTGCGGAGCCGGAAGCAGTATCCATTGCCGGAATAAGGCAGGCAGCAGCCCGGATTGGGCCGCATGTGCACTACACGCCCGTCATGACATGCCGCGCCCTCGATGAGATGAGCGGGGGCCGTGAGGTGTTCTTCAAGTGTGAGCTCTTCCAGAAGACGGGTTCCTTCAAGGCTCGCGGCGCTTGCAACGCGGTGCTGCTTACCCCGCCAGAGTGCCGCGACATCGTAACACACAGCAGCGGAAACCATGCCCAGGTATTTTGTAGGCTGCGCGTGGTGCCCCCCGCTGCCGCTTGTGTTGGAGAGCTTGCATATTTGACATGTGCAGAGAGTGTCGTAGTGCGAGCTGTCACACGGCAGGTAGGTGTAGAGCACTCTAAAACTCTAAAATGGTTGCTTGGTCATTGATTGAGCTTGTGCCAGCGCCCAATACGTGCGCGAGTTCGGTTCGATACGTGACTGCTGTCACACGTACCTCCAGGAAACCTCCACAACCGCAGTACGCACAAAAAAAAAACGCCCCTCCTTTTGCCCTCTCGACGAGATAACTACAGGCGCTCGCGTGGGCAGCCAGCGTGAAAGGAGTCAACGCTCACATCGTGATGCCGCACAACTCCATGGCCGTCAAAGTTGCCGCGGTCCGAGACTACGGTGCCAGCATCACCTTCTGCGAGAACACGAAGAGCGGCAGAGAGACCACCGCGGCGGCCGTCGTATCTGGACACCCTCTGTCCACCCTCATACACCCCTACAATGACCCCAGGGTCCAGTGCGGGTAGGTGGGTTGGGGAGCTTGACACCTCGATAGTCCGATGCGTGAACGCTGATTGGCAGTCCCCTTTATGGTGTATTGGAATCAAGTCTGGATTGGTTGTTTTTGGCTGCTGCCTTGCCAAATGCCCCCCCTCCCCCCCGCAATCTAGACTTAAGTGGGTTGGCGCTGTTGGCAAAGCGCTGCAATACACGCCACCCCAAATATAGCCCCCACAGTATGCGCTACCAAAGACGCGTGACGCATGGATGCGTGGAGTGAGGATTGCTTACGGAAACCTCTCAGGTTGAGTGATGTAGGAGATTGCCGGACACATAGACGTGTTGAGTGATTATAGCTGTATACTGAAACCCCACGGGTTGAGTGATGTTTGAGATTGCCAGACACATGAACGGGTTGAGTGAGGATAGCTGCATACTGAAACCCCACGGGTTGAGTGATGTTTGAGATTGCCAGACACATGAACGGGTTGAGTGAGGATAGCTGCATACTGAAACCTCACAGATGGATGGGTTTTTGAGTTTGCCAGACACATTGACGCGCTGCGTGGGGATAGCTACGTACTGAAACCTCACGAATTGAGTGATGTTGGAAAGTGCCGGACTCAAAGACGCGTTGAGTGAGGAAAGACACATACTGAAACCTCACAGGTGATTTGTATTGGAGATTGCCAGACATATAGACGCGCTGCGTGGGGATAGCTACATACTGAAACCTCACGAATTGAGTGATGTTGGAAAGTGCCGGACTCAAAGACGCGTTGAGTGAGGAAAGACACATACTGAAACCTCACAGATGGATGGGTTTTTGAGTTTGCCAGACACATTGACGCGCTGCGTGGGGATAGCTACGTACTGAAACCTCACGAATTGAGTGATGTTGGATAGTGCCGGACAAAAAGACGC